AGGGGGCCTACACTTACCAGAGCAGTATAGACAGCACAGACCAGGCCTATGGTCAGCACTGACAGCCACAGATCAAAGCCAGTCACTGTAAGTAAATAAAAGTCATACTCAGATCTCTGGAAGTGTCCAAGTGGAGAAGGCAGCAAAGCTCTGATAAAGACAGCCATTGCTCATTAAAGATGAAATCAATCATTTACAACAAGGGAAAAAAGGTCTGCAGACTACACTAGAAGGTGGTGATTAACCAATTCAAATAAGGTAAGGAGATTTTTTTATTAGTTTTCTAGTGTAGTAAGCTAAGACTGTTTCCTCCTCTTCAGGGACCAGTCCATTTGCCTCTGCAGTATAGCTTGCCTGTCAGTTTCCCCCAATTGCCCCTTCCAAAGGAGTTTTCCCAGTCCAACATGACTGGAAGGCAAGGTGGTGACTCCTTACCTGCATTGAGGGCCAATGATGGTGCATACAGCACAACTCCCATGTAGATCACCTGTTTAGTGCAAAGGAAAATGTGATGGGGTGTTGGGGTTAGAATAGGAAGAGAGAAAAGGCAGGCCACCATCCAGCTCCAACATCACAATGGCTTCCCCTCACACCTCCTGACCCCAAGTCTGAAAACAGAAATGATCCTATCTGTACAGCAATGCCTAAGCTCAAATGCCTCCAACATGTCTCTGGCTCAAATTTTATCCTCCTTTCACTTACCATCTGAAAGATGAAGGTCAAGGTTCCACAAACCCGCACTGTTTTATTGAATCGGAGCTCCAGGTACTGGGCAAGAGTACATAAGAAAAAAAATTATTTCTCCCCAAATAGTACCCACAATTTACACATAACTTCTCTGAAGAGGACCATGAAGGAATGTCAGATTCTGTCCACTCTAGGCCCCCTTCAGGATAGCATCTCCACCCTCACCCGACCCAGTGAGAATCTATAAACACTGAGACTGAGGTTCCAGATTCATCACATGCACCCTGTTCCTATTCTCTATCCCAAACCCTGGTAACCCCACTTGCTTCACCTTCCTCCCCACTCACCTCATAAGCACTGGTAAGATGCAGACGGTAGAAGACAGGGATGAAGATATGGGCAGGGATCAGGAGCCCCAGAAAATAGGAGCAGCCCAGGAACCAATATTGGGTGCCAAATCGATAGATTTCAGATGGTACACCCAGGAGAGCCACAGCTGACTGGAAGGTGGCCAGCAGGGACAATGCCACAGGAAAGCAGCCCATCTTGCGGTCCGCCAGCAGCAGCTGGCCAATGGTATGCTGGCCCCAGCCTCGACAGGCGTGATAAAGCCCAATGGCAAGGGACAGAACCAGCAGCAGGACAAGCACCACATAGTCCACAAAGGAGAAGGTGGATGTGACCACATCTGTGTTCGAGGTTGTGAGGGAGGGAGCTGTGGTGGTCATTTCCATAGTCATATCCACACTGTGTCCTTGACCTGTAGCCACTTACTGCTATAGGTTTTGGGCTGCTACCTGGATCAGTCTCAGTCTTCCTCTTCCTGGGTGAGCTGCAAAGGAATCAGCTCCTAGTCAGACACATCTTACTTACATGGCCACCCACCCTTGGGTCTCATACCCCACACCCATCGGACTTGGATTAGCCAACTTGGTAGTAGCACTTGCAAGTCTGGAAGACCTGGTTTGTGTAGTAGGAGGGAGGGTGGTAGGGAGGCAGAACAGTAAGACAGTAAGAAGACAATTACTTGGCCAAAACCTTGGGTGTCTCTACCACAATAAGAAGAAGAAGAAGAAGAAAAAAAAATCAGCCCTGTGTCAAGTTTCCTCTCAGAACAAGAATTCCCTGCCCCTACTCACAGGCAGACATAGGTACCATAATTCACTAAGCCAAGAGCCCAGTCCGGCGCCATAGCCCAGCAGGGAAAATAAACAGAGACTAACATCATGGAAGAACCAACTCCACGGCACATATCAACAACAAAACAGCACATATGTAATCCACCATCTCCCTGACCTCAGCCCCCACCTCCCATTATTCTGTATCACCCTTCCTAACAACACCCCTTCTCAGCCCTGAGCACCACTAGGACGTCTTTATGACAACCCCAAAATGTCACTCCAGGCATTCTCGGGTCACCGTCTCAGTGTTCCTCCTCATCTTCCTCACCATCACTAGTAAGCCCTGCTACCCAGCTCTCAGCCCCTCTACCTGGTACAACAAAGTCATTGGCATTTCTGGAACAGTAAACCCAGTGCCATCAAGTCAGCCACTCACAGTAACCTACAGGACAGAGGAGAACTGCTCCCTAGGGTTTCTGAGACTGTAAATCGTTTCGGAGGCCGAAAGTCTCATTTATCTCCCATGGATTGGCTGCTGACCTTTCAGTTAGCAGTCCATTGCTTAACCCACTGTGCCAACAACACTGAAGGGTTGTTAAGTGTCAATGAGTCGGTTCTAACCCATAGCAACCCTGTATAGGGTTTCTGAGGAGCTTGAACCACTGACCTTACAGTTCAAATGGCTTTGCAGTCTGGTGCATTAACCCACAGCATCACACCAGGGGGAAGGGTAAGAGTGTTCAAAAGTGGGTAGCAAAGCAGGGTGACATGTTGGAGCCTGGGTTTCAGGGTTAGGATTACAAGGTCACCTTGGTGAGAAGCAAACCAGCCAGGAAAAGTGATCCTATCCTGCCATGGGCAAACACCTACATGAGACACAATCCCTGTTCTGAAGCAGAGCTGCCTGAAGCTTGGCAGAAGCTGAGGGTCTAGCTTTATACGTAGCTGAGGTGAGACTGGGAATTGTGGGAGTGACAAAGCTTAGAATTTTGATCCCTTCAGGAAACTAATTCCTATGATCCAAATGGCTCTATCATGGGAGCCAGGTACCTATGGGCCTAACACCAGTTCTGCCCTAGAGGCTCTAGAATGCATTCAGCAGCATTCCTAAAAGGATTAAGCTTTTGCTGTAAGTCACACTTGGCTGTCTGGTTGCTGAAGCTGGAAAAGGAGTAGCTGAGAGAAAGCAGGAAAGTTGCTTTCTGACTCTAGCTCAAAGAACATACCGCATTATGCTTAGAAAAACAAGGACAGAGTTATTGTATTTCAAGATTTAAAGAATTGATCATTGGATCAATATCATTACACCCTCATTTCACAGAGCAAGAAACTGAGTCTCAGAAAATTTAGTGACTTTCCTAAAAACACAGCCAATTATTGTCAGCGGCCAAATAAGAACTCAAGTCTAATGATTCCCCATCCACCCTGTTTTCCATTTATACTATATTGTCTTCCTCTGGGCCATTTTACCCACACATGTGCATATGGCCTTGAGTTCCTTTTTGGTGGCTAGGCCAGAAGACCAGAAGAAGCTGATGATCAGAAGTGACCTCCTTGTCGCTTCTGATCATCAGCTAGCTGAGCCCCTGCTCCAAATGGTCCCAGGTTGGAATTCCCATCATTATATTCTTCCTAGTTAGGATGAATCCTGGTTGAGTCCTGGTGTGGCACTGTGGGTTAATGCGCTGGACTGCAAAGTAAGTTTGAGCCACAAGATCGGCAGTTCAAGATCACCAGCTGTTCCTTGGAAACCCTATACAGGGTTGCTGTGGGTTGGAACTGACTTGAAGTCACTTAACAGCAGGATAAATAGAATGAACTTGTTTAGGCCTCTTTGGGAGACCAGCAGTAATTTCCCTTGCTTTACCCAACCTACTGTAGAATTGCATTAAAACCTCTGTATCAACTCCATCAATGCCTGCTGTAGCCATCCCATTTCTCCGTAACCATATAAAAATCTCTTTCCTATTGGTGTAAGTTCTATCCCAATTGCTTCTTCCTAGTCTATTAATTACCTTTGTGGTGCTATAGGATAAGCACTAGATTGCCATGTCAGTATTAACCTCAAGGTCAACAGTTCAAATATACCAGCTGGTCCTCAGAAATCCAGGCACATTATGAGTCAAAAGTGACTTCACAGCATTTAACAGCTGTCTTTTGCATTTGTAAAACCCAAACGGGGAAGTTGTGCCACCAATTTCAACATGGCTTTTCAGATTACTGCTTCTCAGTAGTAAGGTTACATGGGGTGCCCGCAAAGAAGGGGCCCCTTGATTACCATATCTGTCATGACCTGTGTAAAGGGCATACTCGTTAGATGAATATTATGGTCACCATAAGCCATTCCAACGTTGCTTCCATAAGCAGCACATTAGTTGCTTTCTCTGGGGTCCTCCATTGAGTATTTAGAGAGTGAAAGGAACAATTACCCTACTCAGGGTAAACAGATTTTATTACAAATTTTATCCAGTCTACTAGGCTGGCTGTCCCATCTGGGTTAACCTTTCATGTAAATGGATCTAGTATTACCATTTGTAACTATTCCATGGTGACTTGTAGGTCTTGCATCAACCCAAACATATTCTTCCACTCTGTAGCATTCAAAGCTAAAGACACTGTCCTAACTTAGTTGATCTCGCAATACGTTTGAAAACCATTATGTTCCTCAGGAAACTCACAATAAAAATCTACAAACTGAAGCAATTCATTTACACTATATATACCTCCTGGTTTCAGTTCTTTCGTGGTTTTTACCCATCCCTTCTTAGTCACCAGAGGTTGTAGGGGTACTTCCTGTTTTAACCCAATTTTTCCTTTCCAAGTCAGGTCTAACACAAGTGGTTGGAACTGATTTAACCAGTTCTCAGCTTGGTTCAGTGCTACCATTGACTCCTGCATTCTTTTTCCTTGCCATTACAGCTACTGCTAATAATAAAAACCGTATTTTCATATGCATCCAACTAGCTAATTTATCTGGACTTAAATCTATATCTACCAATCCTATATGTCATGAATAGCTTTTGCCTTTGGTAAGTGATTGTAACACAGCAGTTGCTTCAATCATGGGTGATTTGTATCCCATCCAGAAACCAAAAGTTCCTTGTTCTGCTTATCCCCTTTTCTCCAAAACCACATATCACAGTCAGTCAGGGCAATTGCAGCAAGCACCACCATTCTAACACCAACCAAACAATTTCTTTTATAAAAATCAACACAAGGCTGGTCCCTATGAATTGGAGGTTAAAAGTATCCCAACTTTTCCAACACGTTATGCCCCCTCCACAGTCAGGCTGCTAACCTCAAAGTTAGCAGTTCGAAACTACCAGCTGTCTCACCAGAGAAAGATGAGGCTTTCTGCTCCCATAGATTTACAGTCTTGGAAATCCTATGCAGGGTTGCTGTATATTGGAACCAACTCCATGGCACACCACCATCACCACAGTCCTTGATATCAATCAACACTCCTCCCTTCCCTCAAGTACCAGGGTTCTGCAACATGCTGCAATGCCTCACAAAACTCACAACTGTGAAAAAAAAATGGCTCACAAAATTATGGAGACTGGCAACCCCCAAACCTGTAGTTCTGAGACACAATGGAGCAATCTTCTCACCTACACAGTTGTAGGAGCTGAGGAACCCAAATCGATGACAGGTCAGAGGAGAGGCTGTTGATAATGTTGAGGCTTCAGGAGCTGGTGAATCAGGTCAGGTGATGGGCCGAAAGTCCCCCGAACTGGAAGATGCAATGAGCCAGATGCAAGATCCAGGACAAGTGTGTAAGCTTTTCAAAGCAGTCTTATATACTGGAGTCAGACCATGCCCCCAAAGGAAACTAAGGGTGGTGAGTTGAGTCACACCCTCTACTAAGGTGGGGCATTCTTAATCCTTAGATCCACTGTAATCTTTATTCCTTCTTGTTGATAGCAACCCTTTATAGGATTTCCAAGGAATTGTCAATGTTTCTGTTCAAACCACCTTGAGGTGGAGTGCTTATCCTACAGCATCACACCAGGATTTCATTCCTTACCGCATCTTAATCTTAACTCCTCAGCAAATCATTTCAAAATGGGCACAAAATCATAGGCATAGAGGCTAGGATTTCAATGCCCCCATTTAGCATGTCCAATCCATACTGGCCTAGGGGCAGACTTACACTCCTTCCATTTTACAGTATCAGGTAGAAGGAGTTAGAATAATATCCAATTAGACAAAATACCCACACCAATAATATATTCAGGTAATACTTCACACAAGATCTACCTTATTGAGAATGTCCCCACCTTAGTTGAGGGTGTGACTCAAGTCATCACCCTTAGTTTCCTTTGGGAGCATCTATGTTTAAATATTCCAAATCTCATCTGAACTTTCACCTTAGTTCCATCAACCATTGATCCCATATTCCCCAGGTTTAACCTTTGTTGTTGTTAAGTGCTGTTCAGTAGGTTCTGACTCATAGTGACTCAATATAGGATTCGTGGTGTGGTGCTGTAGGATAAACACAAGACCTCAAGGTCAGTTTTTCAAACTCACCAGATGTTCCTTGGAAAACCAATACAGGGTCGGTATGAATCGAATCTACTCAATGGCACTTAACAATAAGGTTGGTTTGAACCACAAGG